CATTGGTTCATTCACTCAGCAGGCATATATGGGCCATCTGGTTCTCATGTGTCTCCAGCTGGGCTGGGGCACCCTTATTGAGGGAAGGGGAGGGAAGGGGAGGGGAGGGGAGGGAAGGGAGCAGGACTAGAAAGATGGAGAAGTTGAGCTCTAATGCAGCAGCAGTGAAGGTCTTGGCCAACCCCACAGGGAGCTCTGAAGCCAGGGCGACCCTTCAGAATTGTCACAAGCTGAGGAGAGGGGCCTTTATACCTCCACACTAACTAGACATTGGGTGCAGGCTGCCCCAGGAAGAGCACATGACCTTAGAAGGGAGGGCTCTTCAACCGAGGCAATCTGAAGAAGGCTAGCAGATGGGAAAATAAGTTCTTCAGTCCTATATGGGGGTCTGAGTGGCTCACCACAGCATCCACTACAATAGGAAATACTCACATTTACCTTAATCAGTAAGGATGTGATAGAGGAAGTAAGTGTCTGCAAAGGGCTAGAAGGAGACAGCCTGTCAGTGAGCCACGGGAAGTTTGAGACTGGATGGGAGAAGGATTGGTGCCTTCCTAATGGGACGCTGTTGTCTTATGCATCCAAGTGCAGACTCTACAGTGGAATATAACCATGTATGTGGCAGAGTAGAAGTCACAAGTGTGTAACAGCTTATTACAGTGAAGGCGCTCACATTGCAGTGCAACCTTGGCCATAGGGCCTCACCCATATGTCAGTGGCTATCTACAGCACTCTGTTGAGAAGGAGCGTGAGGCTGCTGCTGGGCTCAGCAGAAAGGACAAGGATATTGATTTGCAGTGTCTGCCCTGAACACCAAGGAGCATACCTCAGAATTTCCATCTCTCCAGTATGGTCGTTCCTAACCAGGGTGTGTATCTAAACCACCCGAGTTTTTTTAAAATGCCCCTGCTTGGACCAGAGATTTTGAGTCACAGGTCCAGAGGGGAATCTGGACGTTTTAAAAGCTCCTCGGGTGCTTCTGGCAACACCTCCAGTTGAGAATCACTCCCCTAGTGTAACATCACACACGTCACTGTCACAACCCATACTCTGGTTGAGTCCCAGGAGAGTAAGGTGAAACAGATCTTATTTTTGTTATTATTCTTGCTGATCAAGAGCAACATGTGTCCCTCCACTTAGGGCTGGCTTACTGAGGATTTTGTGATCTTTTTAGTCATCTCCTGTGGAGAGCTCCCCATCCCACCCAATGGGCACCGCATCGGAACGTTGTCCGTGTACGGGGCAACGGCCATCTTCTCCTGCAATTCTGGATACACACTCGTGGGCTCCAGGGTGCGGGAGTGCATGGCCAATGGGCTCTGGAGTGGCTCTGAAGTCCGCTGCCTCGGTACGTGACTCCCCAGGCCTTTCCTGCTGGTTTTTCCCTTCTCAGGACAGGTTTGATCTTTCCAAAGCTGGACCCCAGTCTCAGAACAATATCATCTTACCTACTTTCATAAAATACTTAATCCAAACACCAACTGCTGGGCATCTACCTACCATAACTACCCTACCCTAGCTTTTCTTGGGGCACCCAAAAGAATGAGAATAACTTAAAGTCTGATGAGACAAACCTTTGTGGAGTTCTCATTCTGATCAAAAAAACACTTTCTCACGGGCCTTTGTGTCATGGGTGAAGCCCCAGTCCCCACCTTCAAGGCAACGCACAGACGCATTCCCGTAACCCAGCTAAAATATCTTTTATATTACATATTAGCGAATTTTACATATATAATATTTTATATATAATATAATATAGACTTATAACATAGAAATATATTTTGTCACTTATTCTATACATTACATATATGTGAGTGTGTGTATATATATTTGTGTGTGTGTGTATAAAATAAGCTATCACAAATCCTTTAAAAAAAAAAACTGGTTTACAAAGAACAAAGTTATAATTTCTCCCATGGCTAATCCATCCCCTGCCTAAACCTTAGATTCTAAGGTTCTCTCTACTCTTACTCCTTTCTCAGACCTTTCAAGTCCAAAGGAGGATCCCAAATACACAGACGTAATAGCATAAATCGGGTAGTCTGTTCCAGGGTGAACACTGCTGCCCTCCCACTGTCCCAGGCCCCTGTTGAGTTATTTCCGCACAGAGCCAAAAGATGCTAGTAGAAATGCTAGGGACACACTCTGCCTAAACCCCATTTAATAAAAATCACTCGCCTAGCTTTACGTTGTGTGCGTGCCTTGCCACTCAAAGAGAAGGAAGGGTGCATTCAGCCAGACCACCTATTTTGCATGGTGATTTTCAACACAACTAGGCTTCAACGGCACTGATGGAGACCATGGTGCCCTCCATGCCCTAGGTGCTCAGTAAAGACTAGTTGATGAGACAAAAGGGAGAGAAGTGGGGGACACCTTTGTATAGACATAGAAACTAAATCTCAGAGATGGATGGGTACTTGGGATGCAACTTTGGGTTTGCCAAGTCTTTAACACCATATCTGCCATGTCTAGGATTCCTAAAGTTACTCTTGGATGGCTACTCTCAGGGGGAGGTGGGAAAACAATGAGTGGTTTGGTACTTGATCCTTTTTCCCTCCATCCCTGTCTCCCCCAAACCTGACCAAACCCCACTACCATTTTCTGTAAGCTCCTTTCATTTACCTTCTTTCCCTGTCCCCGACCAAGCCGGACACTGCGGGACTCCTGAGCCTATCGTAAATGGACTCATCAACGGGGAGAACTACAACTACCGGGGCAGTGTGGTGTACCAGTGCAATGCCGGCTTCCGGCTCATCGGCATGTCTGTGCGCATCTGCCAGCAGGATCACCACTGGTCGGGAAAGACCCCTTTCTGTGTGCGTAAGTATGTTATCCACTCTCCCTAGCCACGGCTCAGATTCAACATGGACTTTCTCCCTTGTTCTCTTGATTAGGTTAGCTAGAGGTTTTTGTATGTTTTGTTAATTTTTTCCCAAAGATGCGATCATTACATCTATTGCTTTTCATTTTCCGCATATCACTAATTATTGCCTTCACCTTTATTATTTCCTTCCTCGTTATTTCTTTTGGTTAACATTTTATTCATTTTCTAGCTTTTGACTTGGGAATTTAATTCATTTATTTTCTTTCCTTCATTTTTATTGATTGTTATGGATCTAAGTGTTCAAGACTGTAAAATTTCTTCTGATCACTGCTCTAATTATATCCTATAGATTACAATAATGTTTCATTATTTGTTAGAAATTCTGTAACTTTGCTGTTAATTTCCTTTTCACCTAGAACTTTTTTAATAGAGGGTGTTGTTTTTTTTTAATTCTAGATGGAAGGACCTTTTTAATTTTTCTTTTGTTATTTATTTCTAACTTTATTGCATTGTATATAATATTTCTACTTTGTAGAATTGACCGATTCTTTGTGGCATAATATTTGATCGGTTATGAGTGTTTCATATGCATTTAAGAAAAAAGAGTTTTAAGGTATAAAGATCTATATATGGTCATAAGATGTGCCTTCTTGATTATGTTGTTCATGTCTTGTGTACACATTTATTATTTTGTCCACTTGACCTGTTTTGTTTCGAGAGGTATTTTTTAAAGTTTTCTATTATTAGCGTACTTCCATCTATTTTCCCTTGCATATCCTGTAGTTTCTGCTACTTAAAGGTAATTGTTGTGTTATTTGGTTCATAAATATTCATAACTATTATATCTTTATTGCATTTGTGGGTTTAGCCCTTTAAAATGTCTTCTCTGTCTTTTTAAATATGTTTTAGCATGAATTATACTGTGCCTGATATTAGGCTTACAATCCTTACTTTCATCCTTAACAACATCATAATTAACATTTTATACTTATAAAATTTTAATGCTATTAACCCTTGTTTCCTTATTTAACCTTTTATTATACATTATTTATCAATTTTTTTCAGTTTTTAGTAGTATTCTTTGACTTTCACCTACTGACTACAACAATCAGCAAACCTATTCTGCTTTCCCTGCTCCTTTCACATTCCATTTTTAGTTGCATTGCTTCTACTTTGTCGGAACATAAAATGTTCATTACAATGTTTATATAATGTTATTCTGCCCTTTCCTCTACCTTTATTTTAATCCTGGATCTACAATTAAATATGTTAAAAGTTCACCAGTGCTGCTGAAGTTTTCCCAGGTATCTCTTAGTTGGGTCGAGTTCAGTCTCTAGTAGATTCCTTTAGTGCCTCCTTTGCATAATATTCCCCAGTTCTTGCATGTTTATAACTGTTTTTCTGAACTTTAAAACTTGAAGGATAGCTGGAATGAATGTAAAATCCTCGGTCACTATTTCTTTGATTTCTTAAAAATGCCCCTCCATCATTATTTTGCATTGCATGTTACTCTTAAGTATACCAATATTAGTTTAATGCTATTGTTCTTATAAGTTATTTGGTAGCTTTTCCCCAGACCCTGATGATATTTTTCTTTTATTCTTGAAGTCTAATATTTTTACTAGAGTATGCCTGAGTTGACTGTTCCAAGGCAATTTCCCCAGATATACTACGGACTTTTGAATATGTAGATTCAAGTCTTCTTTTATTTCTGAAACATTTTCTTGGATTGTAGCTTAAAATACTAATTCAAGCCCACTGTTTTGTTTTCCTTCTAAATCAACTCCAATTATGTATATGTTGAATCTTCTTTTCCTGTCTTTTATTTTAGCCTCTTTTTCTCTGATCATTTGTACTTTTATCTCCTTTTAATTCCATTGGTTGTTTGCTGACTTTCTTCAATACCTCTGAGTAAATTACCATTCAATAATATTCCTCTTCTTATAATTTAGTCTTCATTTCTGAGATAATTTTGTCTTTTTCTTCAGCTGTTTCCTGCATGTAATCATTTACCTTTTAATTTCCTCAACATTTTTCGTCCATTATTTGTTGTAGTTTTTCATTTTCCAATTCTCAGGATGATTTTTCATAATTCCAAATGCTTATTTGTGAATATTTAATTCAATTCAGAGTGTTATGATCATTTTCTTATACTTCATGTGTTTTGTTTTGATGTTTTTTTTTCAAATGAGATGTTTTGATTCCTTCCTATTTTCTTCTTATCATAGCTTTATATAGATTTAGGCTGATCTTTTCTATTCATTTTGTGGCTTTAGGGTGGTTTACAAGAATACCCTCTTCTGTCCATGTAAGGAAGTACAGTTGTTTTGTATTGTTTTCTAATAGAAGGCTTTTTTGTGTGTGGAAGGGAGCATTGTGTGTCCTCCATTTTGTTTATTTCTCTTTTGTTTTGTAGAACCCTAAATTGTTCCCCTTTGCTTCATTTTCCCTTTGTTACCCAATCTCCAGAGGATATCTCTTCTCTGTCTCCCTCCTTCCCTTCCTTTCTCCATCCCTTCTTACCTTTATTTGTTTACCTTTCTTTTCTTTTGGAAGCAGTGAGAATCACATATACTTTTATGTCCTTTTCCTGCAGTCAGTGCGTCCTGATATACCAGAATCCTTTTTCAATATGTTCACATTTAAGATGAATGTTCTTTTTCTAGCAGTGATTTTAGATCAGTATTTAGCCCTTCCCCTGCTTCTCTCTCTCTCTCTTTCCATGAAGTCTTGCTCCCCACAAAGGCTTGCATCAGAAGCATCAGAAATTGTTCTGCTTGGGTTTAGTGTTTATTTTTCTCCTTACACATAATTTAAAGTTTATAGCATTCTTTGCCTTTTAGTTATGCTGCAGGCCTGGGCTTTCTACAGTTTTATTTGTTCTTCTTGTTAATCTGCATTTTCTGGATTTAGATGACCACCATTATTCTCAGCCGCCTGGAAGTTATTTAGAAAATTCTTCACTTTTTAACGTTCCCTAAAGTAAGCCTTTTCGTGAAGTACAGGGTTTTGTTCTTAATTTTTGTAAGGCTAGTTTTGTTTTTAATTCTTCTTCTTCATTTGGTTTTTCATATATGAGATGGAACAGTAAAATAATAAGACTCAATAAACAATGCATGAAAATTAGTCTTAGTATCTTCTAAAGTATTAAGTTTACAGAAAGCAAGACCCATCTATATTCAGTTTCTCTTCCAGATGTGTATACACAAAATATATGTGGTTTCATTCAGGAGACAAAATTCAAAGGCCTTCAGGAAATTGGCACAGAATGTGTGTGAAGAGATTGGGTTATAAGTAATAGGGAATGTTGGAGTCTAGAATTAAACAGAGAATGTCCGCTTGACCTAAAGATATTTTAGACCTAGTCCATACTGAAAGACTGTATAGTAAAATAGTTAGACACTTGGACTCCGGACCTAGAGTGCCTGGGTTCAGATCCTAGATGTACCACTATATGTCGTACTGCTATATGATGAAATGGCTTAGTTTATCTCACTAGTTATCAGTTTTCTCATCTATAAAATGCAGGTATCTCAAAGGGTATTATAAGGATTAAAGAAATTAAAATAACATCTACAATGGTCAGAACAATGCCTGACACAGGAGTTAAGCAGATGCTGCTGCTGTTATTGTTGTTGTGATGACGGTGGTGGTGACGTCACCACTCTGTCATATCGCAGAATCCAGGATCTCTTGTACCGAGCCCTGTTCTCTCCCAAAGAACAGAAATTTGGGAATAATCTAGAGAAGGAAAGCAAGAGTAAAAGGACAAATATTTATAAGTGATGACTCTGTGGTAGGCACTGTTAGCTGTCATCACATATAAATTCAAGGTTTTCAATATCAACCATTCTCAAAACTTTCCAGCAATCCTTCCTTCATTATCTCTCCTGCCTATTCCCACACAACTATTTCACAATTTCACTTCTTTTCTGAAGACTGTACTCCATCTCCTCTACTTATATTCTCAGCAAAGAGCTAAAGCAAACAGCTAAGATGACCTGGAATCAGAGAAGCTGGGTTCAAACTCAGATGAGCCGCGTAGAAACTGTGTTCCTTGAACCAGTCTCCTGACTCCTCCGAAATTCGGTTTTCCATGAAGATAATGATGGTGCCTACCTCACAGGGGATTAAATAAAATAATGCATATAAACCCCAATAATTATTAGCCAATTATATAATCTCACTTTCTATTTTGCAGAGATAATAGAGACCATCAGACAATAACTCCTTTCGCTTCCTGCTTCCCCACCCACATACCTGTCCTCATCTGTATTCATCCTTGCCCCTTCCCTCCCACCTCAATAGAAGAGTCTCTCTCCAGGCCCAAAGTTTTGCCTTCCACTGAGTCTCTGGATCTCCTTCTCTCCTGCCTCTTTAGTGAGCTTAGTCTGTTTTTAACTCTCTCCTCTGTACTGCTGACCTTCCCTGTCTATTAATTTCCTTCAGCCTATAAGACCATATTCAATAAACATTTCCTTAGCATCTACGATGTGCCAGGCACTGTGTTAGGTGTCATGGATAAAGATGAATTGAATGTGTCATAGTCTCTGCCCCCAGGAAATGTGGGTCTAGTGGTTCGTGTGCTCAAGCCCCAGTTAAGTGCTCACACCTCATAAAGATTCCTATTTTCCGTCCTCTTGATGGTTCTCTTTGTCCCCTTTTCAGCCTCTGTCAGTCAGGGTCCTCCAGGGAAACAGACCTATCTGGGTGTCTGACATTTCTTGAGACTCTCTCTGTGGCTTCTGTGAGACTCCTACCTTCTGTTGAGCTTTGTTTTTCTACCTTGCTGACCACCCCTCAGTTTCCTTTACAGACATTTTGATGGATCTGCCCTTCAAAAGGTTATATTCCCAAAGGTTTTACTACTCAGCGCTCTTCTCTCGCCCTATACAAGTGGTTTTTAATCTTGGGGAGGGGGGTCGTAACCCTTTGTGAATCTGATGAGAGCACTGAATCCTTTTTCAAGCTGATGGCATACACCCAATATTTTGCATAGAATTTGAGTGAGTTCACAGACCCTATGAGCTTATCTCCACTCTCCCACCATCTCATTGACCCGGCAAAGTCCTACTTACTCACCCTTGAGATTCAGCTCAGATGGCATGCCACTCCCTCTGGGAACCCTCCTTAACCCTCTCTCTCCCCAGTGGAGGGTAGATGCCCCTCCTCTGTACTGGCTTCTATCCCAGCATCAGTCCACTCTATCGAAGCAGTCTGCTGTCAGCTGAGCTCCCTGAGGTCAAGGATCATATCGTATTCCTCCTTGTAATTCATCAGTGCATAGCAGAGTGCCTAGCACATAGAAAGCACTCAGTAATATTTAATGAAAAGTAAACATATGAATCTATTTCGAAGCAACACTGTTACTACATATTGAAATCTTTACTTTATAGATATAGAAACTGAGGCTCGGAGTGAATCTTCCAAAGTCAGGAAAGGGCAGAGCTGAGTTGTAAATTCTGGTCTGCTGGCCCCATAGCCCGTTCTCATCCCACCACTCCAGGCTGCCTTGAACCCCTGTAGTCAATCTACTAGCAGCATATCTCCCACTCTGCCCACCTCTCTCCTCTTGAATCAGGGATGCTGCTGTTGAGATTTACAAAAAAAGAACTGTCCCCAAAAGATACCAGAGTTGGCCACAACAAAAACTGGGTCCTGCGTGCTCTCGTTCTCCCATCCCCATCCACACCACGGATCCAATTTGGGATAAGAAAGCATTCCTCGTGGTCCTCGGCCTCTCACAGCTAACCAAGGGAGAGGCCTGGCAAAAGCAACAAGTGGGAATTCAATCGAAAGTGACTGGAACCAGGCAGGTTCTAAATAGAACTGAGGACTGGGGAGCAAAACAGAAGCCCAGGCATGCCTCCATTTATGCACTCACTCACTCATTTGTTCATTCACTCAGGAAACGTTTATCAAGCTCATTCTTCTCAAATTGCACAGATGGGCCATTGCAGGTTACCTAGGGCAGAGTAAGTAAAAGAGCACAGAGAAAGGCCAGGAATTACACCAGCTGAATTCCCTTCACATGGAAGGAGTGGAAGGGGAGGAGTAGTGCTCTCCTGACAACTCTGGTTCCCGGGTGTTGGTCTGGCAGGGTGACCAGTCCCTTTGTTCAGGCTTGGTTAGTATTGGCTCTGGCTCTATCAAGATTGGCCCAGGAACTGGAATGAGTCTGAATCAGCCGAGGAGTAGTCATCAGTATATCTTGCAATGAAGCGTGAAGGTGAGGAGGCACGAGGATCAGCAGCACGAAAGGAGGCAGAACTGAGTACCTGGATGACAGAGAATTATAATCCAGGTCTACTGCCCTATGGGGAGTCATAGAAGGATTTTTCTCCAAGCTATGGCCATGCCTTCAAATAAGAAGGAATGTCCCCATGATGACTTCAGGGAATAAAGATTTCAGCAGAAGAGATTGACTTTAGACTTATGGCTGACCTTCACTGATAGGCATGCCAAGTGAGAAGAAGATGAATTTGGAATAACAAGAAGGCTTACCTATCTCCTGTTTTGGTTACAGCAATTACCTGTGGACACCCAGGCAACCCAATCAACGGCCTCACTCAGGGCAACCAGTTTAATCTCAACGATGTGGTCAAGTTTGTTTGCAACCCTGGCTATGTGTCTGAGGGGGCTCCTAGGTCCCAGTGCCTGGCCAGTGGGCAGTGGAGCGACATACTGCCCACATGCAGAAGTGAGTCACCTGTCTTCTCCCACTCTACCCCCTGTACCTCAGCCATCTGTGGTTAGTAACCCATAAGCAGAAGCCAGTGGATTTAGTCCTGGTGTTATTTTGACTCTGGGAAAACTTAGAGCAGAGAAGCATCATAAATGGGAACTTTCTCAACTCCCAGGCAGAGCCATATAAATAAAGTTTCATATTTCAAAATAGAAGTGAAAAACCATCTTGTTTCCATAGCATAGAACCAATAATTCATCGTTATCATGTAGAGCCCTATTCTTGATGATGGGAAAAAAGCATCAGGGTTCAAATGAAAAATAAAAAGTAGCATCTGGGGGTTGGGATGAAGGAGGAGGGAAGAGAAAAAAACAAGGACTCAAGAGGCAGACTCTGTGTAGAGGACATTCCGGCCCCATTTGCACTATTTGGGAAGTAACTCCTAAAGCTTTTGAAGGCTGCTCACAGCAGTAAAGGACAAACAGAGCTGTCTGCCTCTTACCAAGAACGTCCAGGCAGGCTCGATGACATTTGAGTGGAGAGTCAGCGCGGGCTGAACACAAGCAAGCCCAGCCCTGATCTGAAGGTTGACCAAGTCTTCATAGCTATAAGGGCTGAGATTCCCTGGAACTATGATTCCTCCTTACAGTATCTGGGGGTACATGATGATTGGCTGTGCAATGTGTCACAAGTCATTTGTAACTGATATTAAAGGACCAAATTTTCAAATTATTTTTTAAGTAAATCAAGATACATTCATAACTCACCCTAAAATAGCATCCCTCTCTTAACATTTCAAGATGCCATTTCGAGTTAGAGAAGGTTCCAGAAAACATAGGGAAAACTGCCACGACCTTGTGCCATGCCTTCCTCTGATCATCTATTCGGGTAGGAAAGAATTGAGAACTGCTGCTTTGGGGTGTTATCCTATGTCTCCTCTCCTCAAGAACTGTGCTTCATTTCCCCAACACAAGATACAAATTCTTCTGTAGCTCTGCCCCCCACCCCCCAACCAGCCCCTCTTGAGCAGAGTTAACATGCTCAATGCCATGACCTTGTGCCATACCTTCCTCTGATCATCTATTCGGGTAGGAAAGAATTGAGAACTGCTGCTTTGGGGTGTTATCCTATGTCTCCTCTCCTCAAGAACTGTGCTTCATTTCCCCAACACGAGATACAAATTCTTCTGTAGCTCTGCCCCTCACCCCCCAACCAGCCCCTCTTGAGCAGAGTTAACATGCTCAAGAGCTGATCTCGAAATCAGAGAGTTGTGGTGAAATCCTCAGAAACCATGGCCTCCAGTCCTGTTCCCCATCAGCCCAGTCTCTGCCCCAACAGAGTGACCTGCCTAAAATGCAAATAGGATCAAGTCATCTCTGTTTATGCCCGTCCACACGTCCCACTGCCCTTATGAGAACAGTATTCTCCTCCACTTGGTTACAGAGTCCAAGAGACCTGGCCTGGCCTCCTGTCCAGCCTCATTCTTCTTCACTTCCTCTTCCTCTGGCTTAAGCTCTGCGTTGGGTCCCAGCCACACTGAACCTCACCCATTTCCTCACACACACCCTGTGTCCACATACCCCTGGGGCACCTCACCCCAGTTTCCTCCAATGCATTCTTCTCTAAACCCTTCACCACCCACTCTTTGTCTGGGTGACTTATACCCAGTCATCAAGAGCCAGCTTATAGCCTGCCTAAGTTTCCACTTGTTTTAGTCCATGTCTTCTCATGGGCCACCTACTTGGAAGACCAGCCCTAACCAGCACCCTGCACTGGGCTAGGTGCTCTGCTTTGTGCTTCCAGAACATTCTCTGCTGCCCCTACCAGAGCTCTTATTTAACAAGATAATTGCTCGTTGGTCCTTTTCTCTCTAAACCAGCAGTTCTCTACCAGGGACGATTTTACCCATACCCCTGCCCCAATGGGGGACAGAGGTCTAGAAACATTTTAGGTTGTCACACTGCAGGGTTTCTATTGGCATCTAGTGGGTAGAAGCCAGGGATGCTATTCAATATCATACAAAGCACAGGACCGGCCCCACAACAAAGATTGACCAGCCCAAAATGTCCACAGTGCCGAGGTAGAGAAACCCTACTCTAGATTTCAAATTCTGTAGTATACTTGCAGCCCAGCACCATGCTTGGCACTCAGTGTAGCACAATAAATACTGTGAATGACTAAATGCCACTAACCTGTTTTGTGACACCAACCTGTCTGAGCCTCAGAGAGGCTCATCAAAGGTAAAAATACCTTTCACCTTAAAAGCTTATCAAAATTTAAAATACCTGCCCTGATGCATATGACATTCAGGCAAGTTAATGGATATGTAAGTGTTTTGAAAGCAGAAGTACACAGCATGAGTTATGAATGATATTGTCATTATTCTAAAATCACACTCTGATTTTGAGTTAAGCTGCTTTGGAAATGCTTCAACATTTAAAAGTCAAATGTATCCCCCAGGATATTAATCTTTCCCTGAAATACTCATAAAAGTGATTAAAACAGTTTCCAAAAGAGCACAACCCCTGGTCAAGTCAGATCCGATGCATCGATTTTACAAAAGATGAGCTTTGCTGCAGGAGACACAGTGTACCAGGGATCAGAAGCACAGATCGAGGCATTCATGCCCTCAAGGGACTCAAGTATTCAAATAAATCACTGTCTGGGTGGATGCGGTCTGCAATAGAGGTGTGTGCAAGGAAGCACTAAGGAGGAAGAGGTTCACTAGTCTGGGAGGAGGTAGGAAGGCTTCTCAAAGGAGGCGACATCTAGCTGGACAGGCAAGGATAAGTGAGTCCCTTAAACAAGTGATCAGGGTTGGGAGGGAGAAGTACCAGCCTCCCAACCAGGCAGGATCTGCTCCAGGTCACCTCTTTCGGTCTAGAAATTTTGCTGTACTGGGAATATGTGCCCGTTCAGGCTTCTGAATTCTCATTTAAAAGCATATGCATACTCTCACATCCAGGTGTCTGCATCTAATTGTCCTGTTCCATTGCAGTCATCAACTGCACAGATCCTGGGCACCAAGAAAACAGCGTTCGTCAAGTCCACGCCAGCGGCCCACACGGTTTCAGTTACGGCACCACTGTGTCTTACCAGTGCAACCATGGCTTCTACCTCCTGGGCACCCCAGTGCTCAGCTGCCAGGGAGATGGCACGTGGGACCGTCCCCGCCCCCAGTGTCTCTGTAAGTAGATGTCATCTACCATCTACTTAAAATGATTGCCTGTGCAGGCTGATGGGATGGTTCATGTCAAAGAACTATCCTCTCTTCTGTGGGGCGTGTGTGTGTGCGTGTGTTAACTCACAATAATGGTCACTCTGGCTGCTCTTCAGATGTCAGAACCCTTCTTGGCCCCCAGCTGCGTTAGTTACCATACCAGTTCACATGCTCTTTCTTCCTGCTTGGAGGCCTGTCCCCTGCCTCTCGAGGACTGCCACCAACCTCTTCAGCCTCCTGGGCTCCCTTCTTCAGAACTGGCTGCCTGGCATGATATTGTCTCCCATTTTATTCCATCTTCGCTTTTCCAGAAAGACAACACATGAACCCCTTTCCTTTGAAGGACTAAAGCAGAAATGCCACTAACTCTTGAGGCAGACAGACCTGGATCTGAATTCTGGCTTTGCCACTAACAAGCTGTGTGGTCTGAGAGAAGTCCATCAACCTCTCAGAGCCTCTGTTTCTTTGTGTATGAAAACGATGTTCACACATAGTCCATAGGGTATTAGAGGATTAAATGAAATAATCCAGAAAAGTTCCCAGTGTAGTATCTAGTAGTCAATAAACAATAACTTATTTAATGATTATTAGGAAAAAATGTGAGGACAACATGTGAAGGAAAAAGAAAGAGAGAGGGGCGGTGATTAGACTCCTGCCTTCTGGTTGCTAGCCTCAACACCCTTACGAGAAAATCCGTCCCTTGATCTCTTGCTCTCTGCTCTTGTTCCTAAAGGTGAACCCTGTGATTACTCTCTCCCCCGTCTTCCTAGTAGTACAGGTGAAGATGCATTCCGGAGCAGTTAACGGGTGTTGGCTTCTGGCCGCTCAGCAGTCCACTTACCTTTGGCGAATGATACACACTGTGTCACATCCCTACGCACTCAGTCTGCATGACTCCACCTCCTCATGCCCCGTGCCTCTACATATGAGAGGAGACTGGTGCAGCTACTCACTACCCAAACTTCCCTTGTTGGAGGACCCCACCCTGGCCATCCAGCCCCATTTATGACTGACAGATTTGGAGGGCTTGGAAATGGACAGCTGACCATGTATAGCGGCGCCAGCTGAGATTCAGAGCACATGCGGTTTCAGATTGTATCTTTTGGTAAAACGAAGCTTTCATCGTAGTAGAGTTACTCAATCTGTATTAATTTCTTTGCCCTAAAGTTAATTTTATCCAATGTTAATGTTGCTACTGAAGTAATTAATTAATATATAATTATATTAATATAATTTATAACCAGCTTCCTTTGGAAGATTTAACCATTTGTATATTTTTTAATGGAATATAATTCACATACCATAAAATCCACTCTTTCAAAGTCTATAATTCAGTGGTATTAATATTCACAGAGTTGTGCAGTTATCACCACTATCTAATTCTAGAGCATTTTCATCACTCCAAAAGGGAATCCTTGAGCAGTCACTTCTTGTTCCCCACCATCCTGTCCCCCACCATCCTGTCCCCTAGTAATCATTAATCTACTTTCTGTCTATGGATTTGCCTATTCTGGACATTTTACATAAATGGAATTAAATATGTGGCCTTTTGTGACTGGCTTCTTTTATTTAGCGTAAGGTTTTTAAAGTTCATCCATGTGATTGCATGTATCAGTACTTCATTTCATTTTATGGCCAAATACTATTCCATTGTACGAATACACTACATTTTATTATCCATTCCTCAGTTGATAGACATTTGAGTAGTTTCTACTTTTTGGCTGTTGTGAATAATATGAACATTATGTGACCATATTCTTTCACTTCTCTTGGATGTATACCTAGGAATAGAATTGCTGAGTCACGTGGTAACTTATGTTTAACTTTTTGAGAGGAACTGTTTTCCAAAGTGGCTGCACTATTTTGCATTCTCGCCAGCAGCATATGAGGGTTCCAATTTCTCCACATCTTCACTTAAACACTTATTGTCCATCTTTTACATCACAGCCATTCTAGTGAATGTGAAGTGGTATCGCATTATGGTTTGATTTCCATTTCCCTAATGGCTTATGATGTGAGCATCTTTTTATGTTTTTCTTGGCCATTAGCATCTCTTCTTTAGAGAACTGTCTATTCAAGTTTTTGCCCATTTTCACTTGAGTTGCTTGTCTTTGTATTGTTGAGTTTTAACAGTTCTTTATATATTCTGGATACTATACTCAAATACATGATTTGCAAACGTTTTCTTCCATTCTGCGGATTATCTTTTCACTTTCTGGATAATGTCCTTTGATGCATGAAAGGTTTTCATTTTCGTGAAGTCTAATTTATCTGTTTTTTTTCTTTTGTTGCTTGTGCTTTTGGTGGACTAATTAAGCAATCATTGCCTAATCCAGTGTCACATCATGATCCAAGATAATGTAATCTATGGACAGGCATATTTTTACTTCTTTTCCAACCTGGATATCTTTTACTTCTTTTTCTTACTTATTTGCCCTAGCTAGAACTTCCAGTACAATGTTGAAAAAAGTAGCAAGCACAGACATTCTATTCGTGTTCCTGGTCTTTGGGGAAAAGCTTTCAGTCTTTCACCATTAAGTGTGATGTTACCTGCTCTTCACCCAGATCTTGCATGGCTGGCCTCTTCACATCACTCAAGTTACTGTTCAAATGTTACCTCCTCAGAGAGCTCTTCCCTGACCACCCTACTCAAAAATAGCATCTTTATACCACCCCTGAACTTCCTTTTCCCAATGTAGATTTATTTTTCTTCATAGCACCCCCTAAAATTACCTATTTATTTTCTTATTTATAGTCTCTTTTCCCACTAGCATGTAAGCTTCACAAGAACATGGACTTTATTCTCCCAAATACATAAAACAGTGCTTAGCACCTAATAGGCACTCAATAAATATGTGTCGAGTAAATGAAAGAACCTGGGTCAAACTGGCTAGAAAATGGGAAGGCAAAGCGCAGTGACCTTAACGGCATTGCCCAGCCCTGGCCTGTACACTTCAGCTATTCTAATCTTATCACTGGTCTTGCACAGTTGCAGTATGGTGTTTCAGGAAAGGGAACTTGCAGACTGAGGGAACAAGTTGGGGACAATTGTAAGATGGAGTTGGGAAAGGACTATAACTGGCCCTCGTTCTGGAACCTGTGAATAATGCAAACAGTCCTAGGATAACGAGGGCCCATTTTGTCTTATGTATACTATGTGTACCACCTCTCTGCCAGAGACATCTTGGGTATGCCCTACGGCAGTGAGGAAATAGGGAGAAGAGATCACAAGAGGAAAGAAAGAGAAAAGAGTATGACTGCATACCTACTACCTGCTGAGCAGTTTCACAGATATTATCTCTTCAACTTTTAAAACAGTTGATTTCACTGATATGAAAACTGTACCGCGCGAT